TGCTGGGCTCCAGCGATCCTTCCGCCTCAGCCTTCCAAGTAGCTGGAACTACAGGTGCGCGCTACCACACCTGGCTAATTTTTGATTTATTGTAGAGATGTAGTCTCACCAAGTTGCCCAGGCGGGTCTCGAACCCGCGGGCTCAGGTAATCCACTCATCTCAGCCTCCCAAGGCACAGGATTACAGGCTGAGCCACTGAGCCCGGCTTGAAAATATCTTAACTAGGACACAGATACCAATACAGCAGAAGCACTATAAGTGCCCTACATGGTTTATTTTCCTTGGCTCACCATTTTGGAATTGTCAAAATATACACCATATACCCCAAGTTATAATCCATAAAGTTTCTGCAACTATAGAATATATGAACAACTATTTTGTAAATACTTCTTAAATGCTTATATTTCAAGCATACTTGATTGCAAAGCAAACCTTCATATTTCGCCCTGGTGATATGGGACCCGCTTATATAACACAATGGCATGTGTATTAACAGATGCTTCATTATCCAGGTCATGAATCCTAAGACCATGGAAGCAGGAACTTAGTCCTATTCACCTTCTCACTACTATCTAGATCCAGTATCACATTTGCAGAGTAAACACTAAACGTCAGTAGAATTAATGAAGAGTATCTATTGAGCATCTGTTATACCTAGCACTGCAGGAAATAACAAAGCTATATAAGGCAATGTCCTGCTTCCACGGCTCACAATGTAACTCAGGAAGTGAAACATGCACATAAACTACTACTAGAGAATACAGAATGGCTTGGTGGTCCGCAGCATAACACAAGGATTAAAAGCATCAACTCTGCCGGGCATGGTGGCTCATGCCTATAATCCCAGCACTTTGGGAGGCTGAGGTGAGAGGATTGCCTGAGCCCACTGGTTAGAGACCAGCCTGGCCAACTTGGCGAGACCTCATCTTTACAATAAATCAAAAAATTAACCGGGCATGGTAGTGCGTGCCTATAGTTCCAGCTACTTGGAAGGCTGAGGTGCAAGGATCACCTAAGCCCAGCAGGTTGAGGCTGTGGTGGCCCTAAGTGTGCCACTGCACTCCAGTCTGGGGGACAGGGTGAGACTCCGACTAAAAAAAAAAAAAAAAGCAAAAAAAAAAGCATCAACTCCAAAGTCATCTAGGCTTAAATGCAGCTTTACTCCTTACTAGCTAGGTGACGTTGGGCAAGTTAACCTCATTTTCTTATTTGTAAGAAGAGGAGGATAATAAATATCCTTTTAGATAATGGCTGATATGATTAAGGGAGGTACCATATTAAAATTTCTAGCACATTGCTATGTATATAGAAAGTATACTAAAGAAAATGAGATCCATGACCATGACAGTCTGTTTAGTGTCCTAATAGCAGTTGAAAGAAAAAACTCATTGCATCTTGTTGGATGAACAAAGCTCCTGATGAAAGTGACTCTTAAAGAATAAAAGGAATTTCAAATATTTGAAGATGAAGTAAAGAACACTCTTATCAGAGAAAATGGCCTCAGTAAAATGAGACGTCACAGGGCATTTGGGGGAAAGGTAGGTACTTTAGGGTTAGTCATAAGTGTCCTCCATGATGCTATAAATAACAGAACAGTTTATATAAAATTTAAATGTTTTTGGCAACTACCTTTGAACACCAAGAAATAAATAAACTATCTTGCTGTAAAAAAAAAAAAAAAAAAAAAAGAAATAAAGGCCGGCGTTTAGTCGTTAAAAAAAAAAAAAATAACAGAACAGGCAATTATGTGTCCTAAAGTAATGATACTACAGAAGAAACCATTAAAATGCACTGGGTGTAAGGTCAAATCACTTCTCTAATGAAAACTGAGAACAACTAATGGAAAATATTCAGCAAATTTTTGGGAACATATTGTTAAAATACATTATTCATCAGTGGCCATGCACATTTCCTGATCCCTCAGCTGGGGTGGCCCTCTGCCACCTGGTAAACTCTGCTAAAAGTGCATGAGTGTTAAATGAATACCTGAAGAATGGCTTGGTGGTCCGCAATGATCCTGGCTTTTTCCATACTCATAGCCTGAAGCATGCAGTTCAGCTCTGAACACTGTGTAGTCAGCTGGTCATTCAAAACCTAAGCAACGTATACAGCAGTCATGTTTCTCCAGTGAAGAATCACTCCCATATACGTATCATTTTTCATGATGAATTATAATTTACTATATGCAATACTATCCTCTCATTTTACTAGCTTATAAAATACTTTCCAGTATTCGGAGTTTCTAGCCTAAATAACTCTAATTTTTTTTTTTTTTTTGAGTCAGAGTCTCACTCTGTCACCCAGGCTGGAGTGCAGTAGCATGCTCCCAGCCACTGCAGCCTTGATTTGCTGGGCTCCGGAGATCCTTCCTCCTCAGCCTTCCAAGTAGCTGGAACTACAGGTGTGCGCGACCACGCCCAGCTAATTTTTGATTTATTGTAGAGACAAGGTCCCACCAAGTTGCCCGGGTGGGTCTCAAGCCCACTGGCTCAGGCCATCCACTCGCCTCGGCCTCCCAAAGTGCTGGGATTACAGGCTGAGCCACCGAGCCCAGCCAATGACTCTAAACTAAAAGAGGAGACATGTTGACTTTGGTGGGGCAACGAGGCATGTGGCATTTCACCCATCTTCACAACTTTGAACCAGCTACTGGCCCATTAGCAAGACATCTGCAGAATGGAATTTACAGTGTAGGTGCCCAGGCCAAAATTATAAACAGTCCATGACCATGATTAGATGATGACCATTCAGCATTGTTTAGCTGATAAAACAAAATACCTAAACTCTTTCACCAACTACAGTGTTCATAAAAGCAAAATATGCCATCACAAGATTAATCTTTCAAGGTAAGACAAAAATCTTTTGAGGTACAGATCTATCATACATGTAGTTAACTCTCTTTTCTTCTGATATTTTGAAATTTGTATTCTTGTGAAAAATATTTATCTTAATTATCAGTTATTTTTTAACGTATTAACAAAGATCTTAAGTGGTATTTTTCCTTTAGAATTTTTAAAAATTTTAGATTTGTGGGGTAAATGTAAGGATTTGCTACATAAGCAGTAGTGTGAAGGCAAGGCTGTGCTTCAGCAAGCCCTCTGCTCCCCCACACCTCCAGTAGTGCACACGGTACCTAATGGAGAGTTATGTGCTCCTTATCCCTCCCCTTACTCCCTCCTTTGGCGTGTCCAGTGTCTGTTATTCCCTCCCATGTGCCCAATGTTTAGTGCCCACTATGAGTGAGAACATGTGGTATTGTTTTTTGTTTCTGTGACAGTTCACTTAGAATGATAGTCTCCAACTGCAGAATCTTATGTTTTAAAGAACAAGTTCTTTAAAGACAAATGACATTAAAGGAACAATAGGAAAAATATATAAAAAATGAAATGAGCTGGGCTCGGTGGCTCAGCCTGTAATCCTGCGCCTTTGGGAGGCTGAGGAGAGTGGATGGCCTGAGCCCGTGGGTTCGAGACCCGCCTGGGCAGGCGAGACCTCATCTCTACAATAAATCAAAAAATCAGCCGGGCGTGGTAGCGCATGCCTGTAATTCTGGCTACTCGGAAGGCTGAGGAGGAAGGATCGCCGGAGCCCAGCAGGTGAGGCTGCGGTGGCCGTGAGCGGTCACTGCACTCTAGTCTGGGTGACCGAGTGAGACTCCAACTCAAAAAAAAAATGATATAAAAAAAACCTGGATGATCTGGCACACATTGTAAGTATAGTAGTTAGAACAATGCAGAGCATAGCCAGATGTACAGACTCTTCAGCAAGAAGTAACTGGGGGTGAAACAGAGATTACTGGTTCTTAGAATAGAAATAGCCAATTTTCTTCAGAGACAGTTGACCTGAGCTCAAATTCCAGTTATTTCATTCATTAGCTGTGTTCCTGAACTCTCTGTATATCAGTTTCCTTACCTTTAAAATGTGAAGAATGGTTTCTATTTCATAGGGCTATGGCAAGGATTGCCTTCTGTTAGTAAAATATGGTGCTTAGAATTTGCCTGGAATGTAGAATGGGTTCAGTAACAGTGTTAACTGCTATTAGTATGGGAAGAATAATAGTAGTTATCGTTATTATTATTCTTTTTATTTAAAAGCATATTTACTTTGTATTCTCTTTATTATAAAGAAAGCATAGCAATGCTATGATTCTAACATTGATGTAATCAAATTGTACCAACAGGAAAGTTATTTTAAGCAACAAACCCAATTTCGTTGGGCTCTGGGATAAATAACTCCAGCTTGCATGCATATTTGGTGACTCTTCTTTTCTTTTTTTTTTTTTAATTTTAAGTTGGAGTCTCCCTCTGTCACCTAGGCTGGAGTGCAATGGCATGCTCACAGCCAACTGCAGCCTTGACCTGCTGGGCTCAGGCTATCCTTCTGCCTCAGCCTTCCAAGTAGCTGGAACTACAGGCTTGTGCCATCATGCCTGGCTAATTTTTTGATTTATAGTAGAGACGGTCTCAAACCCCCGGACTCAGGCAATCCTCTCACCTGGGCCTCTCAAAGTGATAACATTACAGGCTTGAGCCACCGTGTCTGGCTAACTCTTCTTGATATACGTTTGTTTGTGTGTGTGTGTGTGTGTGTGTGTGTGTGTGTGTGTGTGTGTGTGTGTGTGTGTAAACATCAGCTAAATTTGGGAACCACCATCCCATAGGAAATGCTTATATATCTCCAAAACCCAGCAAGCATTTATTAGGTTCCTCCTGTGCTATTTATCATAGAAGATACAGAGAAAGTAAAAGATATAACCAGTGCCATTGAACTGGTATGCTGTGGGCAGAAGATATGTATGTGATGAGTAAATTAGAAAGCAAACACAGACAAAGTACAAACTAGTGAATGATTCAGTATTATATCTTATATGTTTATATGTCATAGGAATTTGGAGAGTGAAATGAGAAATGAGTTAATTTGATAATGTTTTACAGATGAAGTAACTCTTACAGAAACAAAAGCTAGACTATGGAGATGTTATAAATTTATATAATCAGGATTATTTGTGGTTCTTTGTTCTTTAATCAAACTAAATTAAATACTATCCATAATCTAGAGAAATGGTGATAACTTACCTGTGCTTTTTCTGATGCTTCACGAAGGGATATTATTTCAGACCTCAAATATACATTTTCTTCATGTTCCTTGTTGAAAGACACCTGCACATTCTATAAAAAAAAAAGATTACTCTCTTTTTGACATGTAAGATATATTATATGTATTGCTATGAAAATACTGTTCTATTTTGACCAGTAATAATTCAAGTTCCAATGAAATATTTTTGTTTTTGAGTCAGTGTCTTACTCTGTTGCCCAGGCTGGAGTGCAGTGGCATGATTACAGCTCACCTCAACCTCATTCTTGTGGACTTAGGCGATCCTTCCGTTCATTTCAGCCTCCTGAGTAGCTGGGACTACAAGTGTGTGCCACCACAGCTGGCTAATTTTTTAAAATTTTTGCAGAGACAAGGTCTCACTATGTTGCCCAGGCTGGTCTTGAACTCCTGGGCTCAAGCAATCCTCCTACCTTGGCCTCCCAAAGTGTTAGGGTTACAAGAGTGCGCAATAGCGCATAGACTCTTACAAATAATTTTTAAAAATCTCGACAGCTTCAGTTCCCAATTTTCTCTTTATTTTTAAATTATTTATCAAAATAGTTTATTTAAAATAATAATGAGATACCACTACACATCTATTAGAATGGCCAAAATTCAGAACACTGACAATACCAAATGCTGGCAAGGATGGGGAGCAAAAGAAACTCTCATTCATTGCTGGTGGGAATGTAAAAATAGTACAGCCACTTTGGAAGACAGTTTGGTGGTTTCTTATAATACTAAACATATTCCTCCAAAATAATCCAGTAATTGCATTCCTTGGTATTTACTCAAATTAGCTGAAACTTATGGCCACACAAAAACGTACACAGATATTTATAGCTTTATTCATAATTCCCAAAACTTGGAAGGAATTAAGATGTTCTTCAGTAAGAAAACGGATAAACTGTGGTACATGAGATGATGGAATAATATTTAGCACTAAAAAGAAATGAGCTACTAAGACATGACAAGTCTCACGCCTGTAATCTTAACACTTTGGGAGGTCAGGGAGAAGGATTTCCTGAGTTCAGGGGTTCAAGACCAGTCTGGGCAACTTGGCAAGCCCTTCTCTACAATAAATCAAAAAAATTAACCAGGCATGGTGGTACATGCCTGTAGCTCCAGCTACTTGGAAGGGGGAGGCAGAAGGATCACCTGAGCTCAGGAGGTTGAGGCTACGGTGGCCACGAGCATGCCACTGCACTCCATCCTGGGCGATAGAGTGAGACTCCAACTCAAAAATAAATAAATAAATAAGGTATGACAAGAAAAGGAGAAAATATAAATGTTTATTACTAAGGGAAAGAAGCCTATCTGAAAAGCCTACATACTATATAACTCCAATATATGACATTTTGGAAAAGGAAAATCTATGGAGATGATAAAAAACAAACAAACAAAAAAAGAGATTGCTGGGAGTTAAGGAGGAGGAAGGGACAAATATGTAGAAAATGAGGGATTTTTAGAGCAATGAAACTACCCTGCATGACATTATAATATACATAATAATATGTCCACCATAGTAGTGGATATATGTCATTATACATCTGTCCAAATTCATAGAATGTACAACACCAAGTGTGAACCCTAATGTAAACTATAGACTTCAGATGATCATGATGTGTCAGTGCAGGTTCATCAATCCTAACAAGTGCACTGCGCTGGTGGGGGAGTTGACAGTGGGGGAGACGACAGTGGGGGAGACTGTGCATGGGTGGGGGCAGGGGTTGTATGGGAGCTCACTGTACCTTCTGCTCAATTTTGCTGTGAATCTAAAACTGCTCTAAAAAATAAAGTCTATTTTTTTAAAAATTGGTTATTAAATCTATTCTCACTTTGGGATTCCAACTAGAAAAAATTGGCCTAATATGCCCAATGTTTATTGCCTACTTATGAGTGATAAGCTGCTATCCTTATATCAAAGTTCTACTCCCTAAGATTAAATGTTTGGCAGGGCACAGTGCCTCATGCTTGTAATCCCAGCACTTTGGAAGTCGGAGGTGAGAGGATTGCCTCAGCCCAAGGATTCGAGAGAAGCCTGGGAAACATGACAAGACCTCGTTCTCTACCATAAATCAAAAAAATTAACCGGGCAGGTGGCGCATGCCTATAATTCCAGCTAATTGGAAGGCTGAGGTGGAAGATTCGCCTGAGTCCAGAGGGCCGAGGCTGCGGTGGCCATGAGCATGCCACTGCACTTCAGCCTGGGCAACAGAGTGAGTCTCCGACTCAAAAAAAAAAAAAAAGATTAAAGGTTTGTAATCTTACATACACATATTTTGCTATTAGCAGTAAGAACTTGTGATTTCAAAAGTACATATCCAAGGGTCTTTTACAGTTATATGTAAGTGAAGACATTTTCATCAAGGAGTACCTAGGGGTGGAGCAGAAGAAAGAGCCTTTGTTTTGAGTGGTGGTGGTAATGGGAATTACTTCTCTTTGAGCTGGGAGAAAGGTGGCAGAGATGAGACCAGTGGGCTGGGCTTTCCCTAAAAAGTCCTTAGTAGAATGAGGAAGGACAAAGTGTATATCCTCTCCCTACAGTGAGAGAACCACCTTTCTATTTTCCCAGGAGAAGCATCTTGAGAGAGAAAAATGTCACATAACACATAACACTATCTCATGATAGTGTCCAGAAAAATTATTCCAAATAGCATCTACAAATAAAGAGCTTAATTTAGAAACATAAGATAAATAAAGTAGTTGTACTTTTTTATTTTAAGAATTATGGTAAAATATACATTACATAAAATTTACCATTCTAAACATTTTTAAGTACAGTTTAGAGGCATTACATATGTTCACACTCTTGTACAAAAACATCAACCAAAAAGTAGTTATATTTCTTACATTTCATTTAAAAAGTTAATTTATAGCAATTAGTTTGCAACAGGCAAAAAGTACAACTGTCTCATTATTTTTAACAATTCATCTTTTCCAAACTATATCCTGGATGAAATGATTTCTTAGTTCTTAATAGCCAGTATTACTCTAAGTACACGACTCATCTACATGAAATTTCTTTTATAAAGATTTTAGGAAAATCAGAAGGACTGTAAGCCAACATGGATGAGGAAGTGGGACTTAGTGAAGAGAGGAAAGACCACCTCTGTACTCCACTACCTTAAAACTTACCTTATTTTCTTCAACCAACTTGGAAATGAGGTCATCTCTAGAAACTAAAAACAAAAAGTCTATATAACTATGATAATAATGATTTACACACTGAAATTACATGATACTGCTTTCCCTGAGAAACTTTCTTTTTTGTTTGTTTTTTTTTAGTGTATATTTTGCGGAAATAAAGATAAGCTTTTTATGTTTTTATGGTCTGAAAACAAAGTTATGGAATTACCAAGAAACCAGTCCCTGGCCATTTGTGATGGTAAAGGGGGTCACAGATTACTCCACAAGTAGTTGATGAGCCTGAGGCATTTTCAGCTGAGGAGGAACGTAATCAAAGATTTCTGTTGGAGAGCTCATGCTAACAGGAGTTACAGAAAGGTGGGAAGCCAGTTTTGTGCTGTTGCAGTAACTGACATGTAAGCCCATGAGAACTGGCTGTCCTTGGTCATGACCATGGGAAGCAGAAGAAAGACAGATGAGGGAGTCAGCAGAGAGGGTGGTGGGGACACAGTGGCTGACAGGTAGGTAGAAGCAGTAAATGAGCCAAGAAGAACATCTAGCATTCAGACTTGCATAGCTGAGTGGAGAGGGGACTCTTGACTCCCAGGGAATCAGAGCAAGGGGCAGGTTTAGAGGAAAGAGTGTTTTCCACATGTGTTGACATACTTGCAGGCATCAAAATACACACACTTAGTTGGCAATAAGATACTGGTGTAAGCTCAGGAGGACGCTTTTATGTGGAAAACAAAGATCCGAAACCACTCCAGGTATATACAGTGAAACGAAAACCAAAAGTCAGAAAATCATGGAACAGTTTGGCACTATATGCTAGTAGCCAAAAAAGGAAAGCTGTTTTGAGGGTAATGTTCTGCCTTCATAGAAAAATTCATAAGAGTGCCGGAGTCCTGCTCCTGAAAGGGTCGGGAGTCTCTGGAGGTGTGACAGCATAGACGACTCACAAAAGAAAAGAAACTAGAGAGAAAGAAAGGGACTGGACTCCTGCTTAGAATTAAGCAGAAGCTGTTTATTGAGAGTTCTCCAAGGGCTTTTATCCCCAAACTCTGCAAAGTTATCTTCATGGGAACTCCTGCTGCTATGGTTACACAAAAGGTAGCATGTGTGCCTTTCACATGAACAGGTTCAAGTGCACACAGGACACCCCCCACTCTCAAGCAGTTGTATTTTTCAAACACGAGGAAGAACATGAGAAAGAACAACCACAAATTGTCTTTTTGTTTCTTATCCAGTTTCTATGTACCCTAAATTGTTTACAGCTACATAACATCTTTCAGTGCTTACACCTGAAACCAACATAATGATATATTACCTTTTACTATTCTATGCTAATTCAAACTAGTCTCTATACTCTCCTAGCACCAGCTGGCCTAATTCAAACTTCACTAGCCTCCCTGAATTAAACTGAACTAACCACACTTCTATAACAAAATAGGTACTTAAATTTTCTTTAATCTATATAAATTATTTTCTAAAACCTGTATCTATAATTTTCTAAAATCACATCAAGAGAACCTGTGACTTGCACTAAGGCTCTTCAATGTGACTCAAAGTTAAACTTAAATTGTTTAAAAGTAAAAACCATAAACCATGGAAAATGGGAACAATAGACCCCCAAGTTAGTTGTGTTCATTTCAGTTCAGAGTCCTCTGTTAGAGCCAGCAGGAGCCTTTCCTGGTTGCAGTGCCAAATGGAAAAGGAGGGAGGGAATGGGGTCAATTGCTTCCGAATGCATCCTAGTGGTCTCAGGGTCCATGGCCCTCCCTGATCCCTAACGCTCAGTGGGCCTCCGTGGCGGCTTCCAACAATAGAAATCTATTAGTTAAACATTCTAAAGCCAGAAAATTATAAAACACATAAAAATCACATTTTATATAGAATATATACAAGAACATATATAGAAAAACCTTATATAGGATATACATATAGGAAAACCATACTTTTTGAACACATGAATCCACAATTCAATAGAATAAACTCTAATTTAAAATATGCAAAAAGATAAACTATATTACTTATCTTGATAAAAGTAAGAATGAAAGGGTAGTGTTTCTCTTACTTGAGAGAACAATGTAATCATTTTCAGTAACATACGTATATAAGTGTCTATTGTTAATAAACTGTGTATAAAGTTACATTTTTTAATTCATTGAAGCAAATATCTAAAGGCATTCCTTTTATTAATTTCTAGCTAGAAAAACTACTTGTACCTTAAAGTAGTAAAACTACATGTAAGCCAACAGTCTATAATTTAATATTAAGCACATAGCTGCTTTTCTTCATGTCAGTTTGCATTACTGTTGTTTTAATCTTCAGTTTTTAATGGTCTTCTACATATTCTTTACAAAATTCAAAAGTATAGAATTAATCCAACGAGAAAGTAACATAAAAGCTTACTTAATCAGAGGGCCAACTGAGATCATAGAAAGACGTGTTTTAGGCCCAGTGGTTCACTTGCTGTGGGTCCTTAGGTACAGTCTCTCTAGATCATTATATTTTTTACAGAATGTGGATATTGTCTTACAAGGTTGTCATCAATCTCAAATGGGATAATGTGGCAGACCCATAAAATGTCACCTGCATTTTTGTAGGCAAACAATCACAGAGAGACAGAAAATGTTCCTGGGGTACTGTCAGTGGGAACTTCACATAGTAATTCACCAGCCAACAACTGAAGGAAAAGGAAGCATTTCTGCTAAAAACAATAAGTCAAGACACTGAATAAGTTACTCTTTGCTCTACGTGTTTTATGATTTGTATTGCCCCATTGTATCATAGAGCAGAGACAGTGCACTGAAGAAAAGGCAGGCTTGGAGTCAGAAGACCCAGGTCCAGGGCTCAGTTTACCAATATTTCCTTTTGTAACTTTGGGAAATAGAGACAACTTTGAGTATTAACGAGATAATTTATGTGAAAGCTTGGGGCAAACCACAAAGTGTTAATTATGTGAAGCACTGCACTATCATCTGTGACTTCTGTCATTGAGACTATCTGGAAATGCTTTACAGTGACATATATAAGCAAGAGTTGTATAATAAAGGACTGATGGGTTGGAAGAAGCACACTGAGCAACTTGCGATCAAGTCTGGGCCCTTCTACTTTCTAGCTATGTCATCTTTGAATAGTCAACTGTAAAATGAGATTAATCTGAGCTCTCGTTAAGGTAATTTAGGACCATCTATCTCTACAAATATGGTTAACCAGAATAGATAAACTACATAAAATCAGTAAGCTAGAAAGGGTTAATAACCATATCCCTTATTAAAATTTTACTATCCAATGTCCAACCTAGATGTCTAGAAACCAAATGTTCTCAAGTTCACAAACAAATAAGCCTGGAACAAAATAAACCTAAATAAAGAATAGTTTAAAATTAAGAGGGTCAAAACTAATATTACAACATTCCTTTTTGTCTCAGTGCTACAGGCAGAAAGGAAATCAGCAACTTTCTACATTCAGGATTATGGGAAGTACTAGCAACACTGGCCACTTCAAGAATTTGGGACTTTTTGCATGAAATCTCAAAAACTAACCAGAATGTGATTTCCCACATCTATTTTCATACTTAGATCAGACTTCAGCTGTGAGGTAGCCGTCTCCAACTCTCCTTTCTTTTGTTGTTCCTGGGCCAGTAATTCTTGGGTGGTCCTTATGGAACTGCGTAGGGCAAGGCAATCTTGCTGCAAAAGTTGTACCTGAAATTGTATAAGAAAAACTCCTTTGCTGTAAGGTGAAGATTTCTTGGTTTTTGTTTTTTTGAGACGTAGTCTCACTCTGTCACCCAGGCTGGAGAGCAGTGGCATGCTCACAGCTACCACAACCTCGACCTGCTGGGCTCAGGTGATCCTTCCGCCTCAGCCTTCCAAGTAGTTGGAACCACACGCCACCAGTGCCCAGCTAATTTTTTTTATTTACTGTAGAGATGAGGTCTCGCCAAGTTGCCCAGGCTGGCCTTGAACCCCTGGGGTCCGGCAATCCTCTTGGCTCGGCCTCCCAAAGTGCTGGGATTATAAGTGTGAGCCACCACACCCGGTCCAGGTAAAGATCTCTAATAAACAACCTTAGAGCACATGTGTAAGGTCATATTCCAATCTTAACATCACTGAAGGTAAAAGAGAAGTTAGTCTTTAAGTCACAGTTGAGATCTTGGCAGAATACAGTGCCGCGCTTTCTCCAACACACCAGACACCAGCCTCTTATTAAAAAGATGTTTGTTTCTTTTCCTCATTTTTCAAAAAAGTCTGTAGTAAGAATGTTAACATATTACTAAAGAAGAGTGACAATTTTAATAAGAGGAAGTTGGCAAAAGTGTAAGTTTATAGGTAAGACATCTGCTTTTCTCTTTTGGATTTACTTCCCCAATGTAAATAAGAGAGGAAATCTTCCTACCTGTTTGTGCTCCACCTCCACTGCTGAGCCCATTTCTTGGATTTTGAGAAGCATGGCTGATCCAGATTTCTCCAGAGATTCCCTGAGGTACCTCTCCTGAGCCAGCTGTCTCCTTAACTACAGAGCAATATCGCAGTCAGGTGAGACCAAGTGATTGTCATGTCCATGTAACAAAGAGCAGAGTTACCATCTTCAAACCATCTTCCTTTGTTTAGGACTACTCAAAAACAGGCTTTTGTGTCTCCCTAGTGGATAACCTTCGAAGAAATATAGATCAAATGTATTGCTCATCTTCTTTTGTTTAAGACCATTTTCTAAGTTTGAGATCAAAAGAAAGGATATAATAGAATAGAAGGAAAAGAACAGAGTACACAGCAAGTGGTAAGAGTAAGTACTGCTTCATGAATATCTGTGTGTATGGTAATGAAGTGTAAAATATGTCCTGTAATGGACTGTTGTTAAAAAAAAAAGATTTGAAAGACACTAGTATCTTACCTAGTGTGTATTTTTGACTTTATTTTTCAACTCTTTATTTCCTATATTTTGATTTCTTCATCTCCACATTTTTTCCCCCTGTATTATTATAAACATCCCTCTGAAAGCTGTCTTGATTCTGTTTTGGATTTAAAGGTCTAAACAAATAATGAAGTAACAAGTACCAGACAAAAGTGACACTCAAGAATTTGAGTTCTGTGATACTGTGATATAGTAAGAAATGTAAATTTGGTCTCTGCACCTGGTTCCCGGCACACAACTCCTAAAAACTTTGGAATCTCCTGAGAAGAGTGTCTCTTGTATGTGAATGAGAAGGCTGGTTGGTAGGGGTGAGTAGCTTGCCGATGGGTTGGTCACCAGAAAGACCAAGGCATGATTAGAGGGCTGGGATTTCAGCCCCTCACAACCTCCAATGAGGCAGAGGCAGTGAAGGTGGAGCTGATCATCAGTGGCCAATAATGTCATCAGCCATGCCTGTGTAATGAAGTCTCCATAGAGACCCCTAAGGATGGGGTTTGAAGAGCTTCTGGATAGCTGAACATGCAGAGGTTCCTGGAGGGCTCATGCCAGGAGAGTCTGCGCCCCTCCTCACATGCCTTACCCTGTGCATCTCCTGTCTGGCTGTTCATCTGCATTTCATTTATTCATTATAATAAACAGGAAAATGTAAGTCAAGTGTTTCCCTCATGGGTTCCATGAGCTGTTCTAGCGAATTAATGGAACTCCAGGAGGGGATCTGGGAACCCTGATCAATAGCCAGCTCGTCAAAAGAAGAGGTCACAACCTGGCACTTGCAATTGATATCTGAAGTTGGGGGCAGTCTTGTGGGACTGAGTCCTTAAACTGTGGGATGTGACACTGTCTCTGTGTAGATAGTGTCAGAATTGAATTGAATTATAGGAGACCCAGCTGGTGTCCACTGAAGAATAGAATTGCTTAGTATACGGGGAAAAGTCGCCATACTTCTGGTGTCAGAAGTGTTGTGTTAAGTGGTCCACGAGAGTAAGAAAACTCACTTTGGTTTTGTCCTATTTTGGAGGTACACTGATCTTATTTCTGTCAACAAATGACTATAAAACGAATCAGATAAAGTATGAAGGCTATCTTTGATTATGAGGTAAAGAGATATTTCCAACTTAAATGGGAATTGCAGAGAATTCTATTTCTGTTATGAAGTGATATTAAACTGAAGGAAATTATATTTTTAAACCCCAGAGTAGATGATATAATAGCACACTTTGTAACTATTCTCTAATATTTTATGTGCTTTCCCTATGGATGGTATATTTTATAATTTTTTGAAAGTTTTTTAAAAGTTGAAAGAGGTAAAAAAATGTGTTGGCATATAATTGTTGCAAGATTGCTAATTTTAGAAATGCTCTATAATTTTGTTAATCATATCCCTGATATTAAACATGTAGGTTTAACTTTTCACTATTCTAACTCCTACGGTCCTGAACATACCTGTGAGTAAATCTTTCATTGTTTCTGATAATTTCCTTAGGATAAATTCCTACAGGAAGAATCACTAGATTAAAGGTATGAACTTTTAGTCTCTGACACATACTGTAACTCCCCAATGGCACCATCTAGCAGTATTTGAATAAATCCCATCAGCACCATGTATTATCATTTCCAAAATCTTTCCTAATCTAATAAATAAAAATGTGTTAATATTTTTGCATTTCCTTTGTTACTAGTGAGATTAAACATCTTTTAACATGGCTATTAGCTCCACATATTTCTTTTCTGAATTTTCAGTACTTATCCTTTGTCTACTGTTTTTTTGGGGGGGCATTTTTAGTCAATTTTCAGTACTTTAAAAGGGAAAATGAAAAAAACAAATTAAAAAAGCAGAAAAATGTGATTCTTTCAATCTAAAAGAAGGGGAAATGATCATTTTGTCTAGTTTTGTTATGTTTTATTAGTTTTGCTTTTTAACATGTAGAAGTTTAAGTTCTTATGTGGTAAAATCTATTGCACTTTTAATAATTTTATTCCTTCCTTTTAAGCCTAGAAATTGCTTACTTATCCCATGATATGATAAATATTACAATTCTATGTAAGAATTAACCATAGATTTCATTTTTGGCTATATTTTTTTGGGTTTTAGTATCAGATTATAATCATATGGAGTAGCTTAATATATATTTTTCTAAGCTTTCTGCCAAATTATATAGTATAATTTGTTCAAGATATAATTTTTTCCTTGGAAGTTTCAGAATACTAATCCATAAAATCATCTCATATTTATTTTAGTTGTGTCACTGTCAAATGTGACTCAATTTATAATTAATTCATAATTAAAATAAATATTTAACTCTTTTGAATTGTTTTAATCATTCCCATGATATAAACTTGAAAGGATTTAGCTAGTCATCTTTTTAAAGGATGGTAACTTTTCAAAAGAGATATCTTCTTCTTTTATACATGATATACATATTATGTACAAAAGTGCATTACAAAGATGATATTTTATAATTATGCTGAAACTATCTCTATAAACTTCATAAAATTAACCAGGGAAGAAGGGAGTAGGAGAAAAGAAAATAAACTATGTACACTCAGCATTAATCATGGAGTCAGTTTGCTCTCTGACCTGCCTTCTCCTAGCTGGCTGATATCTGTTGTCTTAGAATCACATAGGCTCTAGTTTATAGTTGCCCTTAACTGCTCCTTAGATGACAACTTTAACGTTATGAAATATTAAGTTTTCTCTTTGAGATATTCTTTCAGGTCCTGTATACTAGTGAAACTTACTGACGTCAGCTGGTTTGAAGGCCCCTAAGAGGAACTGACTCACCAGAGAATAGTTTTCACATTTTGATGAGTTCATCCCTATGACCCCAATCAATCGACAACCCTAATGTTCCAGCCCCCTGCCTTCCACAATCCCCTTAAAAGCTCCAGTCCAGAACTCTTCAGGCAGATGGATTTGAGAAACTCCTCCTATCTCCTTGCTCAGCCCTCCCTGTAATTAAACTCTTTCTCTGCTACAGACTCTGCTGTCTCAGTGTCTGTGACTGCACAGTGGGTATGTCTGCCTAGTGGTCCTGTAACAATATTGTAGAGGTATCAATTTCTGAATTATTATCTAGTACAATCAATCTGTTTAATGTTTATCAGATCCAAATTTTATATATATTTTTACATAATACATACATATATATTTCTTATCTCTTAGGAAGATAAGTACCATATTTATTCTATCTGTATATAGCCCTGTTGAAGCCTACTTACAACATGACTGTTTGGAAATAGGACCTTTTGAGAGGTAATTAACTAAAATGAGGCCATTAGGGTAGCCCCTAATGCAATCTGACTAGTGTCTGTATAAGAAGAGATGTGGACACACAGAGACACCAAGGATAGGTACACACAGAGAAAAGTGTGTGTGAGGGCACAGTGAGAAGGTGGCCACCTGCAAGCCAAGCAGGAAGGCCTCAGGAAAAGCCAAACTTGTTGACACTCTGATCTTGGACTTCTGGCCTCCAGAACCTCCAGAAATAAATTTGTTTACACTACCCCATCTGTGTGACTTCATTATGGCAACCCAGCAAACTAATATACCCTTCCTGTGCTACACACCCTCAAAATATCAGTTGACTAGTACAGTTCTTCTGCAGGTCCTTGACAGAGCTCCATCAAAAATCAAGATTTTACCACAAAACCAAGAATTAAGAATAAGATTTTCCCTTAGCCAGGCGTGGTGGCATGCACCTATAGTTCCAGCTATTTGGAAGGCTGAGGCAAAGGGATTGTCTGAGCCCAGCAGGTCGAGGCTGCGGTGGCCATGAGTATGCCACTGCACTCCAGCCTGGGTGACAGTGAGATTCTGACTCAAAAAAAAAAAGGAATAAGATTTTCTCAATTAAAAATAATGTTAAGCAGTAATACAGTGGAGAAAGGATTTTTTATTTCAACAAATGGTGCTGGTACCACTGGACATCCATACCCTGAAAAGATTTTAATCTAGGAGCAAATCTCATGACTTTCATAACAATTAACTCACAATAGATCAAAGACCTGAATGTAAAATGCAAAACTATAAAATTTCTAAACATAGGAGGAAACCTAGGTGACTTGAGCTTGTTGATGACTTTTTTGATACAACACCAAAATCCATGAAAGAAAAATTTGATAAATTGGACTCCATTAAATTTAAAATCTTCTGCTCTGTGAAGAACATTATCAAGGGCACCAAAAGACAAGCTATAGACTGGGAGAAAACATTAGCCTCACGCATTTTTGATAGAGGGCTGGTATCTAAAATACATAAGAAAACAATTCAGTTACAAAATGGGCAAAAATAACAGGTACCTCACCAAAGAAGATATACAGATGGCAAATAAACATATGAGGCCCAGGGTGGTGGTTCAAGCCTGTAATTCCAGTACTTTGGGAGGCAGAGGCGAGAAGATTGCCTGAGCTCAGAGGTTCGAGACAAGCCTGAGCAACATGGCGAGACCTCGTCTCTGCAATAAAAAAAAAAAAAAAAATTAGCCGGGTGTGGTGGTGCATATCTGTGGTTCCAGTTACTTGGAAGGCTGAGGCAGAAGGATCACCTGAGCCTAGCAGGTTGAGGCTGCAGTGGCTGTGAGTGTGCCACTGCACTCCAGCCTGGATGACAGAGTGTGACTCCAATTAAAAAAAAAAAGAAAAGATCTTTGGGGTCATATGTAATTGAGGAACTGCAAAATGAAACAAGATACCACTATGCACCTACCTATTAGAATGAAAAAATCTCAAAATACTGACAACACCAAGTGCTGGTGAGGATGTGGAGCAACGGAAGTTCTTATTCCTTGCTGATGGGAATGCCAAATGGTATGGCCATTTTAGAAGACAGGTTGGCAGTTTCTTACAAAGCTGGTAAGATCCAACAGTTTCTTCTTTGTTTTTTACCAAAATTAGTTGAAACGTATGTCCACACAAAAACCTTCTCACAATGTTTATAGCAGCTTTATTCATAATTGACAAAAATTGGAAGCAACCAAGGTGTCCTTCAATAGGTGACTGGATAAACAGATTGGTACATACAACAGAATATTGTTAAGCTGTACAAAGACATGAACCATCAAACCACAAAAAGACATGAGGAAATTTTAAGTGCATATGCTGAGTGAAAGAAGACAGTCCAAAAAGGCTATATACTGTATGATTCCAGTGATAACAAAACTATAGAGATGATAAAAAAAAAATCAGTGGTTGCCAGGGGGTTGGCGGAGAGGAAGGAGGGATGAGGTATATCATAAGATATTTTGAGGACAGTGCAACTATTCCTTAGGACCCTGTAATGGTGTATATATGGCCTTATACATTTGTCAAAAACACAGAATTGTACATCACGAAGAAGACTGCATCTTAATATAAACTGTGGACTGTGGTTAAATGATGGATCAATATTGGTTCATCAAATGTAACAAAAGTTCCACACTAATGTGAGATATTAATAATGGGGAAATAGCCAGGCAGGGTGGTTCACGCCTATAATTCCAGCACTTTGGGAGGCTGAGATGGGAAGATTGTTTGAGCCCAGGAGTTCAAGACCAACCTAAGCAACATAGCAAGACCTCATCTCTATAAAAAATTAAAAAATTAGCCGGGTGTGGTGGCACATACCTGTAGTCCCAACTACTCAGGAGGCTGAGATGGAAGGATCACCTGAGCCCAGTAGGTTGAAACTGTGGTCAACCATGATCGTGCCACTGCACTCCAGCCTGGGCAACAGAGTGAGACTCTAATTCAAAAAGAAAAAAAAGGGGGGATCTATTGGAGTGGGGAGAGGAGCTATACAGGAACTCTGGGTTTTCTGAGTAATTTTTCTGTAAACCTAAAACTGCTCTAACAAAATAGTCTATTAAAAGATCTAAAAAATAAAAAAGTGACACATTCTAACTATAAACAATCATGCTTTTATCAGAAATTTTACTGGCAAATAAAGCACTTGATATAAAAGAATTTTCCTGATAGCTACGTTTACCACCTAAAGCACTAAAATTTGCCATTTTAAAAACAGTTTTGCATAGGAATTTTCTTAAGGAGGGTGTCCACTTCTGTTTTGTTTAACAGGGTCATTCCGACATCATTTGGTCCATAATTTGGACTAATGTGCTACCCCTCTGCCAGCGAAGCCTGAGGCTTCGGTCACTGCAGAGCATGTGCGTTAACAATTCAGACTCCTCACTGTTTTCAGAGGCACACTTTAGCCCAACAGCTTTCAGCAGCCACCTACTTCACATTTCCCCATCTGTTACCTACTCAAACTCAGGCTAAAATTAAGGTTTTAAGGAAAATCAGAGGAGCAGACTTATTAAAAGCTTTCTATTCTAACACAACTCTCAATGGAGAGGCCTTGGCACCTAACTGCAGAACGTGGGCAACCGCACACTACAGTACCTCCTGCCCAGTTCAGAGAGCACTGACTTTTGTTTCTAGTTTTGTGGCAGTATTGAGGCAAAGGATGCCTCAATGTCACATCAGGGCAGGCACTTTCCCTGGAATTCAGTTGGCATATTTCAAACGACTTCCAGCTGCACAGGCATACATTTTCTTTTTCAAAGGTTTCTTTTCATTCTCTTTCTGCTGTCTTCATTTCCCTGCAATTCCAACACCTCCTCCACCCTCCTGCATTTTTTTATCTTACCTCCTGAATTTTAAAATTCATTTTACGTTTTGTGGTTTTCAGTTCCTCTTCAATAATGGCTGCATTCTTCTAAAAGTAGAAGGAGAAAAGTTTCTAAAACATGAAATGACAGGAAGAAATTGTCTATAGGTTTATCAGTTCAAATCTAGGATTTTTTTTCTGGCAGGCTAAAAATGCAATTTTTAATATGGTTATAAACATTCCTTTATTATAAGTCTGAAGTAATTATTATAATGAGTTATTTAAAAGGAAAATTGTTTTATTACTTTGATTCAAGACTTCTATAATTTCCTCTTTTATATCTCAAATAATGATTAATCACACCCACCTCCTATGTAAAATTCAATAATCAGAGGATAATCTGATAATTGACAAGCATTTTACTTACAGGGTATATTCCTTTTTTTTTTTTTTTAAGAAGTCTATTTCTGCCAGCTTCAAATATTATTCATACTTAGGAGTTGAGGATGAAAAACACAGCATTCACTACTCACTCTTTTCTATTCTTACCACAATCCCAGATGTCAAACCTGAGTTGTCTTTGCCTTCTTTCCTACCTCAAGCCTCCATCCAGTCCCCTATTCCACCAGATTCTTCTTCACAGAATATCTGTTTCCTTCCATAATGTCACAACCCTTGATCAGATCTAATTAGGCTCATGCCACAAATAATGCAATGGATTCCTAGTTGGTTTCTCTGACTGCAATTTATTTTCCCCTTAATCGATACTCCATAACACTGCCAAATTAGTTTTTGTTTCTATTATATCACTTCCATATCAAAAATCTGAATCATACCCATAGGATCAAGCCTACTCACTGATTATCCTTGATTTTGAGACATTATGCAATGGATCGCTAGCTAATGTCCAACTGTCTTCCCACAAGGAAATCCTCACTGCTGTCAGGCGAGTTTATGTGTCCCCCTAACTGCATCCATTAGAAAGATCTAGGTTCAAAGCCAAGTTACAGGAAGAAGACAGGCATGTGTGATCTTGGACAAGCAACTTCTTTTGGGGTCCCAGTAGTTTAGTGTTAAAAATAGGGACAATAGTATCCCATTTCACAAGATTTTGCAACAATGAAATAAAACACCTTGAACTCTATGGCACTGCTTGGCCCATGGAGGGAGAATAGTACTGCTTCTTTTCCTAATGGTCTTTATTCCTTGCCGCACCTGCGTGTGCTCCTTGAATGTCCCTACCCCTCCACTTTGTCTCTCTCCTGAAGCTACCTCTTTCCGACAGGGCACCCTCACCTTCTCAGGCACACCTGAGCACAGAGCCCTTATTAGGCAGTTCCCACTTCTTGTCCTGCACTGTCTTGTAACATTTTCCACACCCTTGTTCCTTCCCTATTTAATTTTTCATGTTTTTTGTACTCCCAACTAGCAAGCGAGCTCCTAAAGAGCAGACTCCCCCTCCTGTCTCATGACCCCACCATCACATGTATAGGATGAGGGTGCCATAAATAATCAACTGCTGATGGCACAACAGTGGGATAGTTACCAGTGCAGACAGATGTCACATGCTAAGAACCTCATGTAACATCACTTATTTTAAAGGTCAGTTTTGCAAGTGTGTTGTCTCCTCCAGCTAACACATGGCAGGAGTTTGTCCTTCAGGTCTCTGAACTCCAACCTTTGTCTCTGAGGCAACCTCCAGCGTGGCGGTCAGCCTTTGCACCTCGTCTTGTGCCTTGTCTTCTTCCTCTTTTACATCTCTCAGTTGCTGGCGTAAGTTCAGAACCTCAAGGTGAAGGAGCTTCAGGTCCTTGGAATGCTCTTCCTGTATTGTGTTCAGACGATCCTTCAGAAAAGCTACAGGTGGCACAGGAGGGGCATCAAGCAGTAGAAAGGTCAGCAAAGGAAAACAAAAAACTCACAGAGCACCTAACACAAGCCCCTGATGACTTGTTTCTCTCCATACCTGTCTTCTGGGGATTCAAATCCTTTTCAGTCTGTAGACGAAAGATGTTCATCTTCAAGGACTGGATGAGGCTTTCCAGACGGCACATTCGATTGACCAGAAACTCACAGTTCTTCCATAAAATATCTGTTTTTCCTGAACAAATCACTTCATTCTGGACTGGGCTAAGGACTCTCTGGCTGGCAGGATCTTCTAAACAATATGGAACTTCTAACTGGCCTCTGGACAAAGATCCCAATATGACAATATTATGCAATGAAATTTGTACTATGGTAATCCTAACCACTGTGTCAACGTAATGTTTCTAAAAAGAATAACAATTAGAGAGTGAAGTGAGCAACATGGCAGGCTTCTGACTCTCTCTACACCCAATAAATGTCTACAAGTGCTAAGTTTCCTCTGAGAGAAAGTCAGAAACGAGTTGAATCTTCTGCACCAGGTAACTACAAAAATATCCACATCGAATGGGTGGAAAAATCTGAGGCACCCTCACAATTAATAAGAATGTATTGCATGTTTCAAAATTGCTAAAAGAGTAGATTTTAAATGTTCTTACCACAAAGAAATAAGTATGTGAGATGATGGATATGTTAATTAGCTTGATTCAATCAATCTACAACATATACATGTATCATAACTTCATACTGTACCCCACAAATATATACAATTATTATTTGCCAATTAAAAATAAAAATATTTGTTAAAAATTGGATTCCTTAGTTAACAAGTATTTATTAGCCCCTCCAAATTTAAATACAGAGAGCACCATTAGGTAAGGAGGATGGAACCAACATGAAATGGATGAAAATCACTGACTTTTTTTTTTTTTTTGAGTTGGAGTCTCACTCTGTCGCCCAGGCTGGACTGTAGTGGCCGCTCCCGGCCACCGCAGCCTCGACTTGCTGGGCTCCGGCAATCCTTCTGCCTCAGCCTTCCAAGTAGCCAGAATTACAGAGACACGCTACCATGTCTGGCTTATTTTTTTATTTATTGTAGAGATGAGGTCTCGCCAAGTTGCCCAGGCGGGTCTTGAACCCGCAGGCTCAGGCAATTCACTCACTTCAGCCTCCCAAAGCGCGGGATTACAGGCTGAGCCACCGAGCCCGGCTAAAATCACTGACGTTTAATTGTTGTTTATTTTATCTGTGCTTTTCATAAATTTTTTATATATAAAAATAAGTGATACATAAAACATATTAACAACTAATTCTAAAATGGTGAACTAAGAATTAATGTTAGCATGGAGGAAATATATTCACATCATTGGAGAAATTTTTTAAATGAAGTCATAATAAACATTTCTATTGTGTTAACAACATGTTTAACATTTGTGCCAAATATAATTTGAAACTGCTAAAGAGTTATATATTCCATGGGTGTTATAATACCAACTATTCTAATTTTATGTCTTAGTAAAAGACACTCAGGAAATGTAAATACAATTTTAAAAAAATCACAACAGAAAATTTGACATTGGCTCCTTAAGCCCCCAGATCCCTCAGGTTATCGCTAAACCAACTTTGTTCAGTAACTGCTTTAGCAGCACTAGGGGAAAAAAAAAGTTCCTTTTTTGCATACCTTATTCTAAATTATGAATTTTTTTTTTTTCTTTGAGTTGGAGTCTCACTCTGTCACCCAGACTGGAGTGCAGTGGTCACTCCCAGCCACCGCAGCCTCGACCTGCTGGGCTCCGGCGATCCTTCCGCCTCAGCCTTCCGAGTAGCCGGAATTACAGGTGCGCACTATCATGCCCGGCTAATTTTTTGATTCATTGTAGAGATGAGGTCTCGCTGCCCAGACGGGTCTCAAACCCGCAGGCTCAGGCAATCCACTCACCTCAGCCTCCCAAAGGCGCGGGATTAGCCACCGAGCCCAGCTATGAAATTTTTTAAGACTTCCAAACTTCTCTTTTACTTTATAATAAACAAGGAAGAAGCAGCTTAGGACCAAATGAATAGCATGACACAATATTTTAGATTTTTCACTTTAACAAATATCAAAGTCTATTTTCAATTTTAAAATAAGAATCAATAGTTTCTTAATTACATTAACAAATTATAATTTCTTTTTAATCAAATGTTGAAGATAAACAGAATACCAAAGTTTGTGTACCTAATTAATATCCTTTAATTTGTTTGACGAATAATTATCATAGTTCTATCACAGAATGACAACTCTTTATCTTACAAATATTTTCTAACTAACGTTCACATGCAAACTGTCATTTCTTAATATCTATCTCATCTGCCAAACTACTACGACGCCTATGAACAAGCAGTGAAACAAAATCCTTAAACCTACAGAGACCCAGTTTATTTTTCTGTTACCTTTTTTCACAAAAATTCAACATGATTAGGTCATTTCTCAGAGAATTGGTCTGCTCCTCAACGATCCTCATCCTTTGCTGAAGTATCGTGAATGTTTCAGAAGCTGTAGCGTTGATGTTGGTTGGAGAGATGACTGGTCTGGAAGTTTCCATATGTACCTAGGAATAGAGTCACAGCACTAGTGTGGTAGGTTCTATTATTGTTCAAAAGAGTCACTGCCCATTTCTGTGGCAGATTATGTACCACTGCCTGTTGAACTCAGGAATGGCCACGCACCCTGCTTCAGTCAGTTGAATGTGAGTGGAAGCTTTGAGAGCCAGTTTGTCATCCACATCTCTCTCTTCCCTCCTCTGTGAGATGAGCATCCCAGATAGGATTTGCTCCATGTACCAGGGTCCCAAAGTGAAGCTGACATAAAATAGATCCACAACCTGCCCAAGACACATAGTGTGATTGAGCAATGTGCCTATGTTGTCATAAGCCATTGAGATTTTTGAGCAGTTTGTTATTGTATCACAATCTAGTTTATCCTATGCGTTACTGTTAGTCATACACTAGGACCAATGACCAGGCTAAGGAAGTCATTTCCTCCTCTATTACCAACCATCTTCAAGATAATATTATCATCGAATCTTCTTAAAAATAGTTCTATACTTGAAGCTCTGAGCAGCTGTCGTAAAATAAATGATTTGCCAACTATGTATCCATATTGAAGCAGTGAATTTTCATAAATATTTGCAACCTGAACTTCATAGCAAGAGCAAAGACCCTTCTACAGTTATTGACAGCAAACTGCCAGATTCCTCCCAAAACCCCAAGAACATTAAACAGGAATGGTAAGACTATTCTGTCCAGATACTAGTGTCAGAAGCAGAATGAGCTTATTAACACATAATTGAAAGGTGGTACCTATAGAAACCTGGGAAAAACTTAGCTTATTCTTAGTTTAGTCTTTTTGTCTCAGCATAACCATTAGAAAGCATTCAGACATTCTACTACAGGACAAGCAGCAGCCTATCCCATCCCTCACTCAGCAAATCTCCATCAGATGCAAGACCAGGATAGCCCATCCTTTTAATTCATGGTTTAGCAAAATAATCTTTAGTAAACTTTTAGGTTCTTTGTCAAGGCTGAAGATCAAAGATCACCCTTTGGTTGGCCAAAGTCATAAAAGTGATAATATGGCCACCTTTGGTCAAGGAATTTGTGAGTTGCAAATGTCTCTCTTGCAGGTCCCCCCTGCCCCCTGCCCCCAGGGTTAACCTAATCAGTCCTTTGTGACCTATGTGACACAAATAAACCTCACCATGGCAGCAATCATGTGACTGACCCACCCATCTGCCTGCTGTCCATCACCTAATGTCAGTACCTGCACTTGTCTGCCCCTTTGTAATGACAAGGAGCAGACCACCACCCAATCACCCTAATCATCTTCCCCCATCTAAGGGAATGGTTAAAAGGACTCAACTGCAAGCAACCAGCGGCCACTGCCTTGCTAGACTGTGGTGTGACCATGTGCTCTTTGAGTTATGGCTGTCGTCATGCTTCCTGGTTTTTGGCCCCCTCCTCCACCTTGGGGAGGTGAAATTTCTCTCTCCCTTCTCTTTCTCTCTCTAATTTACTTTTTTTTTTTTTTTTGAGTTGGAGTCTCACTCTGTCGCCCAGACTGGAGTACAGTGGCCGCTCCCGGCCACCGCAGCCTCAACCTGCTGGGCTCCGGCAATCCTTCTGCCTCAGCCTTCCAAGTAGCTGGAATTACAGGTGCATGCTATCACACCTGGCTAATTTTTTGATTTTTTTATTGTAGAGATGAGGTCTCACCAAGTTGCCCAGGTGGGTCTCGAACCCGCGGGCTCAGTCAATCCACTCACCTCAGCCTCCCAAGGCATGGGATTACAGGCTGAGCCACCGAGCCTGGCTTCTAATTTACTTTTGAATAAGTTTTTCTTTCTTTTTTTTCAACAAATAAATATTTATTGAGTACCTATTATATGGCCAGGCACTGTTCTAGACCCCACCCAAGAGGGAAAAAAAAAAGAGGCAGCAAACACAAATTCTGAGGGAGAGGACAGGGGCAGATGAGGAAGAAGGCTAAGGGAACCGAGAAGCCTGAGGTGATGGGGGCTCTGCCTTAGGCTTCCTCTTTGGCCTCCTCACCGAAATCTTCCTTTTCTTCTGCGGTGGCATCCTGGTACTACTGATACTCAGAGACAAGGTCATTCATCTGCTCTCAGCCTCAGTGAATTCCATCTCATCCATGCCCTCACCTGTGTACAAGTGGAGGAAGGCCTTCCAGCCTTCCAAGTGAACTGCTTGGAGATACGCTTGAAGAGCTCCTGGATGGCTGTGCTGTTGCAGATGAAGGTGACTGCCATCTTGAGGCCATGAGGCAGGATATCGCACACAGCTGTCTTGACATTAGGGATTCATTCCACAAAGTAGCTGCTATTCTTGTTCTGCACGTTGAGCATCTGCTCATCTACCTCCTTCATGGACATCTATCCACAAAACATAGGAGCCACGGTGAGGCACCGGCCATGGCGGGGGTTACAGGCAACCATCATGTTCTTGGCATCGAAGACCTGCTGGGTGACTTCAGGTGGTGTGAGAGCCCGATACTGCTGGCTTCCACGGCTGGTGAGAGGGGCAAAGCCAGGCATGAAGAAGTGGAAACATGGGAAGGGCACCATGTTGACTGCCAGCTTGTGGAGGTCAGCACTGAGCTGGCTAGGGAAGTGGAGGCAGGTGGTGACACCGCTCATGGTGGCTGAGACGAGGTGGTTTAGATCCCCATAGGTTGGTGTGGTCAGCTTGAGGGTTCGGAAGCAGATGTCATAGAGGGCCTCATTGTCAATGCAGTAGGTCTCATCAGTGTTCTCTACCAACTGATGGACAGAGAGGGTGGTGTTGTAGGGCTCAACCACAGTGTCTGACACTTTGGGTGAGGGCATCACACTGAAGGTGTTCATAATGCGGTCAGGATACTCTTCTCGAATCTTGCTGATGAGGAGGGTGCCCATTCCAGAACCTGTGTCCCCACCCAGCGAATGGGTCAGCTGGAAGCCCTGCAGGCAGTCACAGCTCTTGGCCTCTTTCCAAACCACATCCAGGACGGAATCAACCAGCTCAGCCCCTTCTGTATAGTGGCCCTTTGCCCAGTTGTTGCCTGCCCCAGACTGACCAAAAACAAAATTGTCTGGTCTGAAGATTTGCCCAAAAGGACCAGAGTGAACAGAGTCCATGGTCCCAGGTTCTAGATCCACTAGTATAGCACAGGGAACATGTTTGACACCTGTGGCTTCATTGTAGTACATGGAGATATGGTCCAACTGTAGGTCGCTGTCCCCATTGTAGGTACCGGTGGGGTCAATGCCATGTTCATCACTGATCACCTCCCAGAACTTTGCACCAATCTGACTGCCACACTGACCGGCCTGAATATGCATGATTTCCCTCATGGTTAAAATTTACTTTAATTTTATGGCTCACCTCCAGGTATGTACAGGGCAAGAAAATATGTAATTTTTTTCTTTCCTCTGTAGGTCACAGACTGAAAGAATGGAATGTGCCCCAGAAGCTGGAGCAGCGAAGTCTGAATGCAGCAGCAGGAAGGTTCTGAGAGGGAGAAAAAAAGGCAACTTTTCTTTCTTTGCCTCACTTTGTGTTGTAATTCTTTATATTACCCGGATCTCTGGGTTACTGGTGTCGCGCCTCCCCTCGTCACTCCATCCGCCCTCACCACTCCATCCACCCTCACCCTATCTGTACCCTAACATTTTTGGAGGTCCCACCGAGATATCTGAGACTTCTCTCTCTCTCTTTCTTATTTCTTAACTGGTGACCCTCTGTGAACTGTGTTGGAACCTGGTGGTCACTAAAAGCTCTGGCTGAGGCTACACTTCAGCGTGCTGGAAGGTCCCAGTGTGGCAGAGAAGGGCAAAAAACAGTTAAAATTATTCCTTTTAAAGATCAACCTAAGCCGGGCTCGGTGGCTCAGCCTGTAATCCTGCGCCTTTGGGAGGCTGAGGTGAGTGGATTGCCTGAGCCCGCGGGTTCGAGACCCGCCTGGGCAGCGAGACCTCATCTCTACAATAAATCAAAAAATCAGCCGGGCTTGGTAGCGTGTGCCTGTAATTCTGGCTACTTGGAAGGCTGAGGTGGAAGGATCGCCGGAGCCCAGCAGGTTGAGGCTTCAGTGGCCGGGAGCGGCCATTGCCCTCCAGTCTGGGCGACAGAGTGAGACTCCAACTCAAAAAAATAAAAATAAAAAAAATAAAGATCAACCTGCAGGCTCCAAACCTGATAGACACGAAGCTTGAGAAAACTAAATAGCCACAGGGCACTTTCCTGGAAATGCAAGATAGTACCCAATTCACAACCTTACCCCAAATCCTCTTTTGGTGAAGTTATCAAACCCTGCTTCGTATGCATATCCTGGAGACAATTTGTTCTTTGAAAACCTGCTTTTACCTCTGTGGAAAGCAGTGTGGCGATTCTTAAAAGCTCTAAATATCAACCTCCCATATGACCCCGCAATCCCCCTACTGGGAATATATTCTGAAGAACTCAAATCACTCTATAAAAAAGATACCTGCACATGTATGTTTATCGCAGCATTGTTCACAATAGCAAGAACCTGGAAGCAACCATGCTGCCCATCAAAAGAGGACCGGATTAAAAAAATGTGGTACATATACACGATGGAATACTACGCAGCAATAAAAAGGAACAAAATCATGAATTTCGCAGCAACCTGGATGGAACTAGAGTCTATAATACTGAGTGACCTCTCACAAAAACAAAGATCTGAGTATCACATGTTCTCACTCATATAATGGACCTTCAACATCCAATGTAACACTATAAGAAAATGACTGACAGTGGTGGGAAACTATGGGGGGGAAGGGAGACGGGATCAATGGCAGCAAATATCTGTCTTGGGACGGGGAAACACCTCTTATCAACAGGGTGCCTGAATGAAACGTACTTGTATACCTAACCCTTAACTGTACCCCACAACACCATAATAAAAAATATTGATTAATTAAAAAAAAAAAAAGAAAACCTGCTTTTGCTAAGTACAACCTCACAAATTCCAAAGAAAAATGTACAGCCATACAACTCGACCCCCATCCCTTACCTAAACGAACAGATAAAACCCCTCTTCCTTTCTTGGGGGGGGGGCGCTCAGCCTTGGAGCATTAACCCACTGAATAGTGCCAGTGCTAATAAATCGCTACTTCCTAAGATAGTCTTGGTGTCATGGCCTCTCTGTTTTCCTGCAACACCAGGGAAAAACAAACTGCTATGACCCGACAGGGTGAGGGACTGAGATTAAATCTTTACTTCCTTGTAGGCAAGGTCTCTGAGTTTTCTCGTGGACCTAGCTGGATCTCGGAGGGCAACTGATGGTCTCTGCCTAGGGCTACTACCTAGGTAGGCATGAAGGTCCCTTAAGGAAAATTCGGACTGCCAGCACCCATACGGGTGGGGGACAAAGTGCTTGGTTTCTTTTTCTTGTCCCCTCTGGTTGGCAAAGTAACTCCACGAAGGACCTTGAGACTCCAACAGCTGCATGGTACACCTTTCTGCATCTCCGGTGAGTCATCCCACACCCACATATTTGGATGCACACTCTTGGGTCCCTCCCTGATTTTGGTTGGGATAATTTTCTGGGTCTCTTGGCTTTTTCTGGTCCCGTCTTGGGAAATACCTCATAGCGTTCTGATTGCTGAAAGTCCTGGTACCAGGTCTTCCGAGACGTGGTGGAGCATAGCGTCCTGCGAGCTCTAGTGGGCCCAGGGATTGGAGGACGCTCTCTCCCTGTTGACTCATGTCCTTTGTGCTAATGCCTTTGAACCTGTTGGGGACGCCTGGCAGGGAATCTGATGGGTAAGGCTCAGAAACAAATCCTTGAAACCAACAGCCCATCCCAATTGTATCCCTGTTTCCTTTTATTACTGCTTTGCAGCCCTAGCACTGGCTCCCCACAACACCATAACATTTTCATCTGGTGGACAAGTATGGGGAAATTCCACAATATAAGCTGGGGGATGACAAAACCTGACCAAAAAGTGGCTCCCTAGCTCCTAACACCCTTCTGAAACTTGATTTGTACTTAAAAGGAAATGACAAATACCTTAAGATCTCATATATTCAGGCCTTTTATAAGTTAGTTCACCACCCAGATATTCGTTCTTCCTGTCATATCTTTGTGTTGGCTCCCCAGACTCCATTGCCAATAGGTTCCTAAGAAAATACCGACCCTAATTTAGCCATCCCTCCCTTGAAAGAATTTTTCACCCCCTTCATAGTCTCCTATTCCTTTTACAACTCCAATTCCTGCTTTCTCTCTAACTACTCAAATGCTGACCCAGCTGGTTTAACTTCTCCTGTCTCTCTTGTAATCTGCTTTTGCTACTCCACTGTCTGTCAGTTTCTTTTCCTTCTTGCCTTCCACCCTTACCTGTAGAGGAGGGGCTGGCGTCTACAGCCGTGGCGCCTAACCCTGGCCTTCAGTCTTTCTCTTTTACCTTTGGAGGAGGGACCGGTGCCAAAGGCCACGGCACCTGACCCCAGCCTCCAGCCTTCTCGCTCCCCACTCCTCCCAATGCTTAATAACCCCCTGGTGGCAGCCCTACTAGCTGCAGCAAGTCACCACCCCCATGTGTACTTGGGAAGCCCATTCAAGTTTCCACATGACTTAATAGGTCTCTTTTCTCAGGGGGTGGCTGGGACAAGAGAATATTAAAGTTCTTGTTTTCTTGTGATAAATTTAACTCAAGTTATATCCTAAACTGGGACTATATCAACCTTCTTCCCAGACGAAAGTAAAAGGATCATGTAAATTAATCCTGTTAACTAACTACAAAAAAGGTCAACTGTAATTTTAATCTACTTTTCCAACCAAACTTGCAAGTGCTCTAGTAAAATTTTACTTCCAACTTTACCATGTGTTAACATATTAGTGCTAAATAACACCACTGTTTGCTATATCAGGCTTGCTGAAGTTGTATTTTATAAACGAGGTTAAATCACCTGTTGTACCTGACACCCTCTTATGAGAAAAGAAAAGCTTTAAATACTAAACACCCTGCGTAACATGATAAGGTTAAGTCACTTTTACTAAGCCTAGTACTTCTCCTGCCAAATGGATAAAATACTGGGTACTCTGTGTGAGCACAATAAGAATGGGAACTGATCACTCTCACCTAATTGTACAACTGAGACTACAATTTAGTAATTAATACGAGTTTTAACAACTTTGCCTGTTCATAATTATAAATAAGTAGGAACAGTTCATTACACACCCATGTGATCTGTTCACTCTAAAGGCCTTTATATCAGATTGTCACACAGAAATGGTTATAAAGTTTCATATGTATAACCTATTAAAAATGAGCTTTTAAAGTTTTTTCAACCAAAATGTTAAGAAACAGTGCCAACATGGAGGGCAGACAAATCAGAGGGCCAAAGAGGCACCCCAATTGGCAGTCATCATTAGTGACAAAACTCCAACACTCCAACTGCCCATCAGACACCTGGTAAGAACAACCCTGCTAAGGAAATGTTACCCATTTCTTATGGGTACAGTCTGTGGGGGCACTGAAAGCATAGTTGCCCCCAAAAGGCCTTAATCTTCTGGACCTTGTCCACTGTGCAGGCCAGAAAGTCATTGGGAAGCAGGTACACTCTCTTCTGAAGAGAGGAGAGAACACTTGGCTCACAAACGGTGGCCACTTATGGGGGCCTGCAAATCTGCTAAACTGCCTGAAATTGGCTCACCATCACCCCAACAATCCCCCAGGTAAATAGGGTGCTGGAACCCAAATTAATTTCTTAATACAGGTGCCAGCCCTTTGGTCCTGGCCATCCATGTTGAAATCATATAGCCTTAACCAAAAGAATTTTCTCCATTAAACAACAGAGGGGGGAAGAAAGAAACAAAATTCACTTAGCAACCCCCCCCACCGTCTTTGTTACAAAAAGCAAGATTTTTCTTTTCTTTGGAGTATCACTAAAAAAGTAACTTTTACAATAACTACTGTAATCTTGTGTTATAACATGCTTTTAAAAATTTTAATATTTAAACTCTTCAGGTTCTCAATCAGTCTCTTTAGGGTAGGGTAAGAAGTCCCAGAAGCCATATCTGCCCTGTACCCTCCTGAGCTGACTGCAGACCAGGTAGATTAATTTCACTCACAGAAGTCTGTAATTGGTTATAGTGCTTTTCAGTGCCAAATTACTAACAACTGTGGTATCTCCTTCTAGGCACAAGGATTACATTATTTTTGTTAAACTTTAAGATAATATTTCCCTGTCAAAAGGCCCATACCATTCCACTCCTCTCTTCAAAAGTGAAAAAATGTCAATCTCCCATCTCACTGGCATAGAGGTTACCTGGGCTTCACCTTCTAGCATATCAATCGTTGTGATAGTATATCAGACCTATTATAAAAGAGAAGAAACTGTTTTCTCTTGCCAATGTTTACCTGTTTTAAATTCTCAGTTTAAGCTACAACCTAACGACATATCTCTAATGTTTTAAATTCTTCTTCAGACTTTGTCAAAGCAACTATATTTACTTACGTCATTATTAACAA